CAAATTATTAGACTTATTTTTTAAAAGACTGCTTTATTATTGTTCTAGGTAACAAAGTGAAGAAGCTTTTTAAAATAAATGCTTGGTCTGAAGAAGCCCAGTGCTGTTGTATCTTCTTTTAAATGGCAGAGAATAACATATACTTCCAGAAAGCCACATCAATTTTAACAGCATCTGTACAAGTATAGTCTGAAATGTAACATCACAAACAGTGTATATTGTTTGTACTGTTTGCCGCAAGGAGGCAAATTGCTGGGAGGCAGAGGCAGATTTGTTTTCCTCCCCAAAGCTAGGTGCGTCTTATACTTCTGAGCATCTTATACTCCAAAAAATACAGTATTTCCTCTTGTAAAGTATGTAAACATGGCAAAGTAGACAAATGCTAGATGAAAAACTATACTTGCATATCAAGATAACTTTATAATGGTTTTTATTGTGTATAATTATAATTGTGATGGCCTTATTTGGGGTTCCGGTTATTGTATGTGAGGCAAAGAATATTTTGAACCATTTGAATTTCAGATTAGCTTCTCTTTATGGATAGTAATTGGGACTTAAATGGAAATTGTTTATATAGGTGTGTGTGTGTGTGTGTATTTACTTATTTTTTCCTCATAATGGAACATGAGTAGATGCTGAGAGCCATAGTGGTGGAATCAGTATTGAACTGAAATCTGGAAGACTTTATCACAGTGTGCCTTGAAGATTAAAATGTGTGTGTTGGGGGTATACTTCCTAAGAATAGAAACCACATAAAATTGTATAAATAAACAATTATTTTATAGGCGCACCTGTTTCTACTACTTCTACTACGGGCCTTAGTTTGGGTTTCAGTAAACCTGCTGGATCAGCCACTCCTTTTGCTTTACCGATCACTTCTACTTCTTCTGGACTTGCATTATCTTCTGCCCTTACTTCTGCTCCAGCAGCAGGTAAGCCTACAATAGTTCTGTCTTCAAGTTTCTTCTCATTTTCCTGTTGCCTAAATTTTCTAGTTACAATTGTTACAAAAACTAGTTATACTTTAGGTACAGTATTAAAGAATTCTGTCACAATTCGATGATAGGAATTCTAAAACTTATTAACATTTAATTGAACGAATATAGAAAAGTTATCTTTGAGTTGAGCTCAACTCCTGAAGACTCCATTATACATCCATGTCATTGACAACAGAGCAAAAATGTTTTACCATTGCCACTTTCTGAGATACTTTCAACTGTCCAGTTTAGCCTAAAGTCCTGAGATTTCTTGGTTGAGACCCATTCAAATACTAATCTTGTCTGACGCTATCTTTTCAACATCACATGAGGCTGATTAAATACTCCTAATGGCTACTTACAGTATTAATAACTGCAGCTAAGCTAAAAGAAGTGACTATCTGACAGTCACAGAAAACTCTGCCTTTCTAATTAAATTTGTATAACCACCTATGTCACCAAAAATGACTTTGGGCAGTACACACAACTGGATACTTTTAATTAATAAAAAACCAAGGGTACAGGATTTGAATCCACTTGTGATGCTGAAAGAATATTGGGCTCAATAAGGTCACACTATTTGTCTAAGATGGCTTCAAGTTCTTTGTATATACTTAAAAAGATTAAGTAGTGATTCACTTAAAAGCACTTGATTTCAGTAGTGACTCGGATTCAATAGTGAATCAGTAGCTCATAGCCAAGTGCCTTTCTAAATTTTTTGTGGATTTTTTGGAATTCTTGCATTTGAAGTTTAGAACATCATGAAGGAATTGATAAAGATTTAAGTATATGAGGTTACCACTGGATGACTTCATTTATATGGAAGGGTTGTAGAACAGGGGTCTCCAATATTGGCAACTTTAAGACTTGTGGACTTCAACCCCCAGAATTCTTCAGCCAGCAAAGCAAGGTTGGAGGCTCCTGTTCTATGAACACCAAAATGGAAGTTATGCCTGTAGTATTTATAACGACATTAAAATAGTATCAGTGTGCAACCGAATGGTTGTTGGGGGGAAAAAATCAAGATGTATCGTTTTGTTAAAAGTTCAGGATCTGAATTGCACTCTGCTTAAAATTCAGGCTCTTCTGGTTTTACATTAAACTTGGGAGGCACCACTGTTCCAACCACCACTGTATCTACAGGACTTTCTCTGGGGGGAGCTTTGACTGGTTTAGGAGGAACACTTTTCCCAAATGCAAGCACAGCTACAACAGGTGATGTTGCTCATATTTATTATTTAAAATGTTCAGAATGTGGATCTTATGCATGGAGTTAATGTAATAATTTAAAGGATTATCAATCCTGCTAATACTTTAAACTCAAACAAGTAGTAATTAATCTGATTTAAAAGCAATATTTGAATTTGTAGTTACAGTTTCAGCTTATTGTATTCCTTTTTGAAATTAGAAAT